ATCAGTTTTAAATCGATGATATATACAATTGGTATAATTCCAACAAAATAAGTTTTATCTACTTTTTTTCTTCCCTTTAAATGATTAAAATTTACTTTCTTTTGCAACCAGTGTAAATTAGAGAATGATTCTATTCTGTATTAAATGCGATATGAAAGTGTTTTTCGGCAAAGTTACAGTCTAGCGTCAAAAAAACATGGAAAAGCCGAAAACACATTTTTACGGGCATTAAAATAGTCGTAGTTAAAACAAGAGCCGCTATTTTTTTTTCCAACCTTTTAAATGAATAACTATTACTTTCTTTTGTTACCAATGTAAAATGTCAGTGATGTTTATATTTTTATAAATACAGCATGAAAGTGTTTTTCGGCTACGTATCGGTCTAGCGTCGAAAAAATGGAAAAGCCCAAAATAAAAAAAAAAAAACACATTTTACTTGCGATGAAATGGGCATTTCAAAAATAGAACTATTAAATAAAATTTTAACCGTCTAAATGAATGATTATAACATTATAATTTATGTGTAAGAAATGTAAAATATCAGTAATATTTTTGTAATAAACATTGTATGAAATTGTTTATCGGCTATGATACTGCCTAGCGTCAAAAACATAGAAAAAATAAATAAACAAACAACACATTTTACTTGCAATAAAATACTAGATATATTTTTAAAAAATGCTGCTAAATATATTTTCAATCGTTTAAATGAATAACTATGACATAGAATTTATTACCTTTGTAAAATGTCAGTTATTTTTTGTAATAAGTACAGTATGAAAAAGTCAGTGGTGAAACTTATAGGTTGGCTAGCTCAGGGTGAGGTTAGCCTGGTTTCCAGTCTGTCGATTTTTTGTTATGTTTCTGTTTGGCAAAATCGACACATTCAAAACGACGAACGAATACGGAATATTAAGCGCAAATGTTATGAACAAAAAAATGTTATGAATAAGCAAAAGCTATCAACGCCTGAATCCCAGGCTAGGTGAGGTTTTAGATTGTTGAATGTCGGCCATCCATCTTATGTCAACTCTGGTCTGTCCACATTTAGCATCGTCGGATACCCACGGCCGAACCATTTACATTTATCAGTTAGGTATCAACCACGTGTATCCGATGCTGACATTACAGTTGTTAACAATCTGCTGGACATTTAGTTTGTTAACACTCTACTGGTCACCCTTTGTCCCAAATGTCAAACAACATCGTAAGAATGTGTGTGACAGGTGTTGCTCGAGTTTGAACATGGATCACCTTGGTTGAAAATCAGAAGTATGTCACAGCAGTCAAAAAATAGAAAAAAATGTTTTAGCTCAATGGTTCATCTAAAGTTAAGAAGTTGGTAACACAACCTGATTATGGAAAAACCCTTGTTAACTTGCTGTCCAATATAAATGGATTTCTTGGAAAGGTTGTTCATGAAGACTATATGTAACAATTATTGAATAATGAAAATATTACTGTACATTTGAATTGTTGTGATTATAGATTTCATTTTTATTAATTAACGATAAAGTAATGCATTTGAAAATTAATGTGTTGAGATTAATACAACACACCAGAATATATTTATTAATGCATCAAAGTACAGTACATAGATGTACTGTAATTTGGTAATTAAGTCTTGTAGGATGATTCAATTAATTGACTTTGTATAGAGTTCAAACCAGATCATGTATTTTATCAGATAGCATCACTGGAAACTCAATATGACTGTTTCAATATTCTATACTGCAGTCCATTTAACGGGTGTTTCAAAAAATGATTTCTTTATTGCTCATCTATTAGCTTGTCCTAGCAATACACAGATGGAACATTACATCTTCCTTGACTCATAAATAACTTTTGAAGAAAAAAGCCTTGGTGCATGTGAATCACTTGTTAGGGACATTGATCTTGGTCAGAAGATGATCCCTATTGTTTTCGAGGTCAGTAGGTTAAAATCAACATGGCTTTGATGTCAAAAATGGATTATATTATCAAGCAATGTATACTTCAGTACTTTCAGTGCTTTGATTATTAAAGTATTATCCAAATTTGTACTTCGTCTTGTTAATTATGATGTCATTGTTAAAATTTTCATGATGTAAACACGCTACAGAGGGTGTATTTTTTAGCAATCTGTACTTTAAAGAAAAGAAAAAAAGAGGTATTTCTATACACTTGTTGGCATTCCTGTTGCTGTCGGCAAGAAATACATTACATTTGACACTAACCTTTAAATGACATTAAAGAATTTTATAAGCTTGTTTTTAAAAAGAAAAATACTTATAACATCTATTCCTTAAGGTGAGCGATATAGGGCCATCATGGCCCTCTTGTTACTATATGCATATAGGGAAAATCAATGACCCCCTGGGGCGGGACCAATATTGACCCCAGGGCTTTTATTTGAACAAACTTGGTAGACACTCACTTGAAGATGTTTCATGCCAAATATCTAAACTCTAGCTCTTTGGGTTTTTTAAAAGAAGATATTTAAAGTTTTTTTCTTTCGGTTGCCATGGCAATCAGAGTTCTGCATGGAATTAAATTCTTTGAACAATTTTTGAAGGTGACCACCAAAGGAACATTCCTGTGAAGTTTGGATGAAATTGGTTTAGCAGTTTATGAGGAGATGTCATTTAAAGTAAACGTTTACGGACGTTGACCTAGAAATCATCAAAACAATTTTCAGACCAATTTCCAGGATATTTGGATCAAAGCAGTAGCCACTAGAGTGTTAACAAGATTTTACTTTTTTTAGCTCCTGTGACCTTGTTTTTACTCTGAGATGACCAATGTTAGAACTTATTCAAGCAATTACATAGACAAGCATTCTGACAAAGTTTGATGAGAAATGAGTCAAAAATGTGACCACTAGAGTGTTAACAAGGTTTTTCTATATCTGGGCAGTGTGGCCTTGTTTTTGACCCCAAGTGACCCATATTCGAATTGACTTAGTTATCTGACCTAGTTTTTCATCTGAGATGATCCATGTTCCAACTCATCCGAGCATTTACCTAGACAAGCATCCTGACAAAGTTTGATGATGATTGAGTCAGAAATGTGACCACTAAAGTGTTAACAAGGTTTTTCTGTTTTAAGCTCCTGTGACCTAGTTTCGCATCTGAAATGACCAATGTTCGAACTCATCCAAGCAATTACCTAGAGAAGCATCCTGACAAAGTTTTATGAGAATTGAGTCAAAAATATGACTGCTAGAGTGTTAACAAGGTTTTTCCATATTTGGGTGATGTTACTTAGTTTTTGACCCCAGGTGACCCATATAAGAACTAGACCTAGAAATCATCAAAACAAACTTTCAGACTAATTTCCAGGATATTTGGATCAAAACAGTAGCCCTTGTAACAAAATCGGTAGACACCCATAAGAAGATGTTTCATGCTAAACATCTAAACTCTAGCTAGCTATTTGGGTTTTTTTCAGAGAAGATTTTTAAGTTTTTGCTATACAAATATAAGGAAAATCAATAACACCCGGGGGGGGGAGGGGTCAATTTTGACTCCAGGGCTTTTATTTGAACAAACTTTGTAGACACTCACTAGAAGATGTTTCATGCTTAATATCTAAACTCCAGCTATTTGGGTCTTTTCAAAGAAGATTTTTTAAGTTTTTGCTATATAGATATAAGGAAAATCAATGATCCCCGGGGCGGGGTCAATTTTGACCCCAGGGCTTTTATTTGAACAAACTTGGTAGACACCAATTAGAACATGTTTCATGCTAAATATCTTAGCTCTAGCTCTTTGAGTTCTTTAAAAGAAAATTTTTTAAGTTTTTACTATATGCGTATAGGGAAAATCAATGACCCCCTGGGGCGGGGCCAATTTTTACCCCAGGGCTTTTATTTGAACAAACTTTGTAGACACTCATTAGAAGATGTTTCATGCTTTATATCTAAACTCTAGCTATTTTGGTTTTTTCAAAGAAGATTTTTAAGTTTTTACTATATGCATATAGGGAAAATCAAAGACCCCCTGTGGCGGGGCCAATTTTAACCCCAGGGCTTTTATTTGAATAAACTTGGTAGACACTCACTAGAAGATGTTTCATGTTAAATATCTTAGCTCTAGCTCTTTGGGTTCTTTAAAAGAAGATATTTTAAGTGTTTACTATAAGCATATAGGGAAAATCAAAGACCCCCTGGGGCGGGGCCAATTTTGACACCAGGGCTTTTATTTGAACAAACTTGGTAGACACTCATTAGAAGATGTTTCATGCCAAATATCTAAGCTCTAGCTCTTGGGGTTTTTTCAAGAGAAGGTATTTAAAGTTTTTTCTTTCGGTTGCCATGGCAACCAGAGTTCTGCATGGAATTAAATTCTTTGAACAATTTTTAAAGGTGACCACCAAAGGAACATTCCTGTGAAGTTTGGATGAAATTGGCTAAGTGGTTTATGAGGAGATGTCATTTAAAGTAAACGTTTACGGACGGACAGACGGACGCCGGACGAAAAGCGATCACAAAAGCTCACCCTGTCACTTTGTATACATGTGCAGGAATTCCACTGTGATGTATATGTCCTACTATTATCAAAAGAAAGACAATCAGCAGTTTTGAAGCTTGTTTGGTTTAAACATATTCATTTAAGCTCGATTGCGAAACAAGTTCTTGCAACTTATATAAAACTAGAAATGTGTCATCATGCCACAGATGCCCCCGCATGCAGCCAAAATTTCAGATGGTGCATTAATTATTTTTTTCATTTTAATTTCAAAGCCCTTAAAACTTTTCAATGTTAACACAAACCATTTTCATACAATGTTTAAGGCACTGAAATTATTCAGTCTTAACCTTTTAAAAATAGCATATTGCATATTTGTAGCCAAAATAATGGCTAAAAGTAGGAGTGCTGAAACTGAAAGTTAAAAATTTTTCCAACATTCAGGAAAGATAAGTTTGCCTAAAATCATTGAACCACGACCAAATTCAAACTTAAACTGCTTATTCCTAAGATGTATCTATATTATTTTAAAAGTGAAAGCATCCCATAACTCTGCCAAAAAATCATCAAACCATGACCAAATTCCAACTTGACCTGCCCATTCCTTTGACATATCCATATGTCAAATTTAAGTTGAATATGTAACACTGTTGGGTAGATAAAGAACAGAAACTGTAAATTTCATATTATTTTCAAAGTGAAAGGGGCATTACTCTGCCAAAAATCATTGAACCATGACCAAATTCGAACTTGGCCTGGGCATTCCAAAAACATATCCATATGTCAAATTTGAGTTAAATGTGTTGTACCATTGGGGAGATAATAAACGGAAACTGAAAATTTCATATTACTTTCAAAATGAAAGGGGCATAACTCTGCCAAAAATCATTGAACCATGACCAAATTTGAACTTGACCGGCGCATTCCTTTGGTGCATCCATATGTCAAGTTTGAGTTGAATGTGTTGTACCTTTGGGGAGATAATGAACGGAAACTGAAAATTTCATATTGTTTTCAAAGTAAAAGGGGCATAACTCTGCCAAAAATCATCAAACCATGACCAAATTCAAACTTGACCTGTATTTTCTCATGACATATCCATATGTCAAGTTTGAGTTGAATGTGTTGTACCGTTGGGGAGATAATGAACGGAAACTGAAATTTCATATTATTTTCAAAGTAAAAGGGGCATAACTCTGCCAAAAATCATCGAACCATGACCAAATTCGAACTTGACCTGTATTTTCTCATGACATATCCATGTCAAATTTGAGTTGAATGTGTGCCACCGTTCTTAAGATAATGAACGGAAACTGATGATGACGGAATGACAGAATGACGGAATGACGGAACAGGGTAACACTTTATGCCCCGGCCATTACATGGCAGGGGCATAAAAATTTGAGTTCCCTTCCTGAAACTTACCAGTACTGTTGTCATATGAAGAAACATGGTGTTGTGACCCGATAAGGGCTTGAACCCATGATCATTGGTTTGAAGGCAGACACCTGAACCACTATGGAAACCGCTTCCAAAAGCCTGCCAAGAGTAAGCAGTTTTTTCCTTAGACACTTAACAATCAATGTGCCAGGAACAGATTTAAGGAAAATCTGGAAGCCTTCTTTGCAATCGAACTAAAAAAGAAAGATTTACAAATGATTTACAAACTAACAGCTAATAAGCAACTGGTTCCACACTTTATATATCAATCTTGGTTCCCTAATTTGCTTTCTGTTTCCATTAAATTAAGCTAGTTCCTTGGCAAATATCTTGGTTTCCTCATTTACTGTCTGGTTCCAAAGAATTACACATTTTATAAAGAAGCTGGTTCCCTACTAAATATATTAATCTTGGTTCCCTCATTTGTTGTCTCTCAATCATTGTCAGTCACCTAAAAACCATTGGTTCCCTGCATTACACATTTACTAATAGTCTTAAAACAACCTAGTTTTTCACCCGTGTCCATCTTTTGCACATTTTTTTCATCCGTGTCCATCTTTTTCACATTTTTTCTCATCCCTGTGTCCATCTTTTTCACATTTTTTTTCATCCCTGTTTCCATTTTTTCACATTTTTTATCACCCCTGTGTCCATCTTTTTCACATCTGATCCTTTAACTTTAAGTACTGGAAATATGACAAAAACAAAACAATTTAGTCATAATGCCGGTTAACTATTTATCATAACTCAAGTAACATGTAAAAGGTCAAGTATTAATACATAACAACTGAAACTTCAGCTACATATGTGCTCAAATCTATGATGTATTGGCTAACAAGATGTCAATGTTCAAAGATGAATTTCATTTCAGGCGGTATGAGTCCATGTTCTAAGACATTCTGAAAGTGCAAACTTTTAAGATTTTTGGCGGACATAAACTCACATAAACTTAAGTCCATGTCTGTATTTGAAACAAATGTGGCTCCTAGCAAGTGACTAGAAGACAAGGACTATAACAAGTCAGCCATAGACCAACACTGAAGAGTGAAGAGGAGTCAATAAAAACTGAACATTACTGAAAGGTTTGTAGAATCTGTGATCACTGATTTCAGGATAAAATATGTTTAAGGCCGCTATTCCATTTATACGTGATCAGTGGTCCGCGTCCGTCATCCACGTCCGCTACCGATTCGCTTATCAAAGAATACGTTGAATATATTCCTTTTGTCCGTTTACAATCCGCTTCAGCGAAGGCATCCGCGACGTTTCGTAGGATAAGCGATTTTTTACGGACGCGGACAGTCACGGACAGGTCTCGTCATGACAAAATGCCTCGAACGAAATTAAATACTTTATGGATTTCGAAAGAAAATACTAAAAAGCTCACCAAAATACTGTTGGAGAACCCATAAGTTTATGATGCACCAATGACAGATTAAAAAACAACATCTGGTCTTCGTTTGCTAAAGAGATGTTATTCAAAAACCTAACTGGTAATCAATGTTTTTCCTTTTTCTTTTTACCTAATTCGTTGATGATACAACTGGTTTTGGTATTAGAATGAAATTATATCATATTCTACAAATAATTATCCTCTGTTCGCTATTCTATAATTAAAAGTATATAGAAAATAACGTACCTATGGAATAATACTCACGGAAATGCACCGGACACGGATCACGGACGCAGGTCACGGATCGCGTACCAATGGAATAGCGGCCTAAGGATATTGACTACAGTTTTCATAAAGACAGAATAAACACTGTGTCAGAGGATTTTCATAAACTTTGCATTATCTAAGTGTAATATATAACCCATGATTGTATTCAAGTGAAAACTAGAAATGTGTCAACAGGACACAAATACATAACATTCCAGTGTTTTGTCAGTATACCAATGGACGGTATGACAGTCCAATGCATGAAAAAGATAAAATCTATATGCTCCTTCTTCCTAGGTAAAGTCATAGAAATTGAAGACTTCAATCTCATTTTTAAGTTACCTCAGTAACCTGCCCTTGAATTTTAACAAGTAAGATGATAAAACCTGCCCAATACTAAAAGTTTTGGTTTTTGCAAAGGACTATTCTCACAGTGAAAAGTTTAACAAGAGCACAGCTAGGTGGAGCATTATAAGCCCTAAAGTGTTGTTTTTTTGGGGGTTTTTTTTAGTAAGGATGAAGTATTAGTATGATATGGGAATTAAATTAAGTATCAATAGGGGTCTTCTACCCAATATTGACAATAATCCTATGAAGTTTGAACACTATTGGCCAAATGGAACTTAACTTATTCTCCGGAAACTGTTTTTAGTTTTAAGGTAATAGTGACTTTGATCTTGTGACCCCAAAATCAATAGGGGTCTTTTACCCAGTATGGACAATCATCTTATGAAGTTTGAATATTGTGGGCCAAATGGAACTTAAGTTATGCTCCCGAAAAACTGTTTTCAGTTTTAAAGAAATAGTGACCTTGACCTTCGACCCCAAAATCAATAGGGGTCTTCTTCCCTATATGGACAATCATCCTATGAAGTTTGAATATTGTGGACCAAATGGAACTAAAGTCATGCTCCAGAAACTTTTTTTCAGTTTTAAGGTAATAGTGACCTTGTGACCCCAAAATCAAAATGGGTCTTCTACCCAATATGGACAATCATCTTATGAAGTTTGAATATTGTGGGCCAAATGGTACTTAAGTTATGCTCTGGAAACTGTTTTCAGCTTTAGGGTAATAGTGACCTTGTGACCCCAAAATCAATATGGGTCTTCTACCTAATATGGACAATCATCCTATGAAGTTTGAATATTGTGGGCCGAATGGAACTTAAGTTATGCTCCGGAAACCAAATTGCTAACGGATAGACGCCTGGGGGTATAACATTATATGCCCGAAATTCTTTCGGGCATATAAAAGGGGCCACAATTCAATTAAAATCCATGTTAGTTTTATAAGCCCTGGATAGTGACCACCTATTACGCTCTGAAATTAGTGTATGAAGTTTCAACCCATTCCTTTTATTAATTTTGTAGATACCAACTTGCACACAAAAAAATTAACCAAAGTGTAATGGTGATGGCTTGGTGACTCTCTTCCAAAGGTCGAGCTAAAAATGAATAAGTTATTTAAATATTTTCCATTAGAGTCAAACTGTTTTTGCTTATTATCAATACATCCAAGCTATTTGAATAATTATGAAGTTCCATTATGATCAAAATTGTTTGAAGGTATAATCAACCTGTTACAGGGTTTTACGGGACGCAGAATTCTGCATCCCTATACGCATAAATTTTGACATATACATGATGTACGCATATAAGTTATCCACTTGCGTCCAAGTGTACCCACTAAAATAATCCTAACCAATAAATATTTTATTGTTTCTGGCCTGATATGATTTTATCTATTTCTTCTTGAAGCTCGCAAAATTCTAGTTAAAATCTAATACAGCGAGCAGAAAATGCTCGCATTTGTTCATTTCAGAAGTTAACATAATTGAAATCTACTGTGCATGCTATTGGCAAGTGCCCGCTGCAGAAACTGATGACGTTTACCGTGCAAGCTACAGTAACTGATGACGTTTACTGTTAAATCTATTTTAGGTAGCTGTTTTTGGTTTTTCTGTGGCTATATTTAGACATACTATTTATTATAGGCAATTACCATTGGTTAGCCTATCCAATGTCAATCTACTGGTTCGGCGAAAGAATTTTGTATAATAAAAAAGGCTCTGGTTTTTGCACACTTATTTTTATAGTGTTATAGAAATTAAGTCACTGGGTATGTCAATCATTTTTGGTGTAATAAATATAATGGTTTCGGCAAACTTAATTTATGAGGAGGTGCAAAAGAGGTTTCGTAGGCCTTGTGTTTACATATGATATTTTTCAAAAACGCAACATATTTGTGTGTTTACTAGTACAGCTAAAATATATACAGATACTGATCAGAACAGTTTTCAGTCTGTTGGTGTAATCACCTTATCAATCACAAAATATGCTACTAAATAAAACATGACATTCCAGCCACTCAAAGATTATGTTTAAGCCAGGGAAATAGCACATGATATTATTGTAAAAACCAAACTAATTTAAAGTGATAACAGATATTAACATCATGTACTACTTATGAAAACAGTACAATATACATGCATAAGCCATATTTCTGACAGGGTAAATAAATTACTTTGAGCAAAATTGAGAGGTCTTAATAGTCTTTTTCAGTGAATATAATTTGGAACCCTAAAATATAGGCCTGGGCCCCTACATTTCTACCCTGTGCATCCACTGGACCCATAAAATATCAAAGATATGTAAATCACGAGCCTGAATAACTTACATTTTTCCTGCTATCTATAGCTTGTTGTACCCATAGCAACTCCATTGCGATATTCTTGCGTAGTTCTTTCAGCTGACCAGCATCTTGGGGTAGTGACTTTGACATTTCTACATCATGAGACTCTATAAAAAAAATGTAGTTAATATATGAATTTTCTTTACAAAAGAATTGATGTGTCAGGAAAAAAATCAAGTCAGAAGCAAAAATGTCAAACAAAATGAAGATTACAATCAAGATGACATTACTCATCTGGAATAAACAAGTCAACATAGAGTGACCTCCCCTGAATTGCAAACTGTGATGTGAGACAAAGGGAAGTAACTTTTTTTAACAAAAAAATATTAATCAAACTCTCTCATAAAGTGACCTCCCCTGAATTGTAAATTGTGTGGGAAGTAATTTTTACAAAAAATATTCATCAAACTCTCTCAGCATTAAACGAATAGCATGATGAACTTTTTTGAGTGCATGCATATATAAAACATCACAATGTGAGGTGAACATATTATATTTGCCCAAGAGTTTCTAAATTCTTACTTTAATACTGTTCAGCTATTTGATTTGTATTGATTTCTTATCTAATTATTATTTTCAGAAGTCTATAGAAAAATCTAACCATGAAAATTTTACCTCTTATAGAATTAAAACTGTCCCAAACGGAAGTCACATTTGTTGTAAGAGTTGTGCTATCATGTAAAGGTGGTTTCCCCTCTCTTGAATTATCTCCCTGTAACTGTTCTCTTCCTGATAGTTTGCTGGGAATAGGACTAGCTCTAGACTCCAGTGGAAGCTGAAAGGAGATATATAGTGCAATTTAATACAAGGAAAGTGTTTGTTTTAAAGTCTTCATTACAAAAAGATGTAACTTCTTGTACAGTGCATTTTTGTTACAATATTTCTCCCCTATGTTGAAAACCAAGGGTAATCACTTATATAAACACAAATTTGAAACATCTAAAAACTTGTTTTAATTAACCTATTTCCTTGACAACAAGGTTTCAAAATAGAGCTCAGCTTGCCTTTTTTAAGAAGGGTAAATAAAACATGTAAGTATCTTTCACAGTATTTTATGGATCAAGATCTTATACACCACTGAAAAATGCCTATTTCATTAGCATCTACATAGAAATGTGTATTTTTAAAATTAAGATTAATACAAAAAACCTTTCAAAGTAACCAGTTATGAAATTTCAATAGAGATAAAATATAAATGTTTATCACATAAACAGCGGTGCAGGAGTGTAATAACACCATTCAATAAAATCGATATTGCACTAGTATAATAACATTTGCATGACCTTATTTACATTATATACATACATAGCGTAAAAGCGTGCTAATGCTAGGGTTGTTACTATAGATGTGACACTGAAAAATGACTCTTTTTAACAGTTTATCATTCTTACTTTAGATATGTAATAAATAGAATATATTATATTTGTGTAGATTCCATACAAAATTTATTGAACTCCTTGAATAAAACAATATTATGCTTGTCAGAGGCTCGCATAATCTGAATTTATTTAACTCTTACAATAAATTGAGTATTAAACCTACTCTCATTCAATATCATCTGTTTAATCAAATATTGTAACGAAACTTATAACTGAGATTTTTGAAATTCATTGACTTTAATCAATAATGAGAAGGTGCTATTATTATCTTAATTAAACAGAGCACTGCTAGTACAACAAACATGTTACCATCTTTTCTTCAGAATTCCTTCTGTCTGACCTTTGACCTTCATCTTTTCTTGATGACCTTTGTGACCTTTCAGACTTCTGACTTAGTCTACCCTCAGAAGAATTGGATCTCTGAGATTTAACACCTTCAGACCTGAAAGATTTAGCATCTTCTGACCTATGAGATTTGCTTCCATCTGACCTATGAGATTTAGCCTCTTCTGACCTATAGGATTTCCCTCCATCTGACCTATGAGATTTAGCATCCTGTGACCTATGTGTATTTGGTCTCTCTTTGTCAGACATATCTGATCTGCTACTCAAATGACCGGACCGATTTTCAGACCTATAGGACTTCTGACTTCTTTGGTCCGAATACCGTGGAGAGTTCGACCTTTGACCTCTTGGTGAAAATCCTTCAGATTCATTTAAGTTATGACCTTTATCACGAGACCTGTGACTCCTACTAGATCTGTGAGAGTTTCTGTCAGATTTGCTGAAAGGACTTCTTTTGCAGACAAAATCCTCAGTTTTCATTTCTACCCAACCTTGTACTTCTGTCCTCCGAAACGACTGGACCCCTTTGATCTCTATATACAGATTCATCTTTACGATCAAACCTCTGTCCTAAAGAGGCTTGAGGACTTTTCGGACCTGTCAGAGGTTCTTGTAATTCTTTTCTTCAAAATTTTACTTTTTATCTCTAAAACACTTCATTCCTTATCGAGTCTTGTTTATCATTTTTCTGAACTTTCTTCTCTTGCTGAGTCTCTATAGGACCTTTTACTATTCTTTGTGATTGGACACTTTCTCTGTCAGTTTCTAAATTTAAATGCAACTCATTCCTAACTTCATTGTCTTTTGCAGGCAAAGCCTTCTTCAGTTTTTACTTCACCAAAGTTGTTTCTAATAAAAGGTTCAACTCTATCTTTCCATGAGGTATCTAAGTCATCAAGGATATTGTTACCTTGATCTTTTTCCTTATCACAGTCATGTTCAATAGTTTTCTGGGGTAGATAGTGGTGGTTATTATCAATAAAGCTAGTCTGTATCTCAACTGAGTTAAAACTTTGGACTTTCTTTTCACAGCCTCAGATATCTCACTTAAGGTTTCGCCTTCACCTTCACTCGAGACATGCTCTAGAGTTCCCAAGTGTTTTTATTCCTGTGGAAGGTGTCTCTTTAAAATTCAGTTTCATTGTCAAGAATATCATTTTGTAGATTTACTTCTGAATTTTTGTAACTGTTTAAACCTTTTCAAGTACTAACATTTGTTTGTGTTATTCCTTTTCTCCTTCTTCAATTTATCACTTGTTCTAACAGCCTATTTATGAATCAGAGATAAAGATCAATGAATTAGGAATACTAGTAAATTCTGTTTTACTAGATGATATGACAAAACAATTGACAACAAAAAGCATATCATGGAAATAACATTATTTTCATAATTATCATAATTATGTAAATTTAACATATATTGTAAGACTATAAATAAATTATTACATGTCAATCATTAAAATGAGTTTGTAAAAAAGCAGGGCTTTTTTTCACAAGTTGGGGAAGCAGCCCAGCCCTTAATTTTGGGGAAAAATTACATGGTATATTTTGCAAAAGGGGAAGAAAAAACTTGATGTAAATTCAAATATTTGGGGAAAACTGCATGATTTTAAAGAAATTTTCTTTGGGGAAGCAGCCCTATACCGGCCCCTGTAATAGAGGGTAAAAAGGCCCCTGAATAGTAAAGCAATTTGTTGTTTTTCCACAAGTTCAGAAAAATATCACTGAGAATAATGTCTACATAAGGCCAATACATGTAATATTAAAGAAAGCAATCAAGCCTAATAATGTGCTACTTCCACCAAGGAGCTACGTACATGTAAATATAATGAATGGTTTTGTCCTGATAGAAAGCTGTTCAAGTCCATTCAAGATATTTAGCATGGTAGTTAATTATTTTGTGTGGCAGCATGGCCAAGGTGTTTACTGGACCAAGCTAGTAATCAAATGAATCACTAGCCGTGTGGGTTCATATCCCAAGAAGGCCAAGCTGTTGTCTCCTGGAGACAGAAAACTTTAGTTTTACACTTAGTGCTCAAAACTGCCAGGTTGGTCCAGGGAATAGATTTATAAGCCTGTAATAAAAGCTTTACAGGGTTGCTACACAATTCAAAAAATAAAATAAAAATTTTGAGTTTTACTAAGGCTTAATCAATTAACTAAATATTACATAATACCTTTTGGGTTTTACACGGGAACTCAGTCTTTTCCACTACACTCAGTTTCCAGCTTTTTTTTCCAAAGTTCAAGAAAATGTTTCTTCAAAAGTTTTCTTGCCTTTACTTCTTTCATCCATTTTCTGACAAAAAAACCCCTCAAACAGCCGACCTGAAAAAGAAAGAAAATCGTTTTAAATTTAAAAAAATTTTAAATGACATAAAAGGTTTCCTCATTTTTCAAAACGATTCGCGACTAATTCTTGAGGACTAGCTTATGTGTATGCTTAATTTTTTAAAACCTCTTTGAGATTGTACAAAAACAAAGGGGTATTTAAGGCCCCCGGCAGCACTCACCAGAATATAGAGGATATTCAAGTTTTTTCCATAAATTATACAATGATTATACAGGCTTTATTTTCATAAAATGGAATGAATTATGATAATTTTCATATCACAAGATGAAAATAAATCCTGTATATAATAATTATAGAAAATACTTGAATTTTCTGTTTATTATATACATTTATATTGCGTACTTGCTGAATTGAAGAAAGTAGTCCGGCAAGACACCAGTGAAAATACAGAAAAATATTTTTTCAATGCAGTGAAAAAATAATTTTTTACCATGAAAATACTGAAAATGAAAAAACGCATTTTTATTTTATCCATATTTCATTTATAAGTACATTGTATATAATAAAAACATCATACATATATTGGGTAATGACTCATCACTTTATTTAAATAAACACCTTTGTGATTAATTACAGCTCATCTGAACAAAAACTAAGCACTAAATTCTACAGCAACACACTCAAAATTGATATCTTCTTCCAAAATATATTTAACAATGATACTTTTTTTTTTCAAGGTCATATATTCAACTTTCAAACTAAAATTATAGGTGGAGGAACACCTCATGGTCATGTAACATGTTTAGCAAGCATGAAATCAGATGATTTTATCAACTTCATGCCTATGATAAATTATGAAATTAAACAGATTTACTTATTTTCAACAAAATTTTCAGGTAAAACAGGGTATATTTTTCAATATAAGCAGGGGTCTTACTATCATGAATTATGATAAATATTCCAGAGTATCTTCTTGCCAGTTATTATATACAAATGACCCACTCATCTAAAATAAGGGAGTCATCAGCTGCTGAGTCATGTGTTACAATCTGTACTACATCGTACAATGTATATAATAAGACAAAGAGTTATTTCACAGGGCCTTTTTACCTTCTATAACAGGGGCCTGTATACCTGGGCTGCTTCCCCAAAGAAAATTTCTTTAAAATCATGCAGTTTTCCGCAAAAATTGAATTTACATCAAGTTTTTCTCCCCCTTTTGCAAATATACCATGTAATTTTTCCTTAAAATTAAGGGCTGGGCTGCTTTCCCAACCTGTGAAAAAAAAACCCTGTTTTAATTCTGGTAAAAAAATTAAGAACATTTTTGGCAGCTGCCTTTCAGAACTTCGGCTGCTACATGTACTGTCTTCTGAATATTTATAGTAAGTCCTTTGTAAAAACACAAAAAAATAATAGAAAATGCAACATATTTTTTGAAAAGCCTGCATTACATGTATTTTTGAAAAATTGGCCCATTTACTGTGCAGCAGGCAACAGGGACCGATTTGGTTTGGGGCTGAAACGTCCTGTTTGCATAAGGTCCATGCATTTACAAGTACCCAACTTGTAGTTTAAATTTTACAGCCCCGAAACTCTATTAAAAGATTTTAATAATTTACATGTTGCGGATTACATACGGTCGTACATCGTGCTTTTAGCATTGTCACGTGACTTCACCAGCAGTGAACCACACCAAGATAAAATGATGAAAGATGTAAATCAGGGAATTCCCCAGGATTTTTTTTAAGCGCTACATTTTTTTAATTAGACGGGGGTGGGTGCGGGAGGGGGTCTTGACCCCCATACTGCGTGTCGAAAATTTTTGCCATTTTAGGTGTCAAGATACTGCTGTGGGCTGTTTTAAAACAAATAATGAAAGCTTTTCACTTGATAAACATTTTCTTAATTTTTATTATTTACTTTTTCCATTTCCAACAATTCAAATAAATAAACAGTTATATATAAACACAAGTTCACAACATGTGATCAACATTTATATGTATGTGTGTGTCCCATTTAAATGAGTTTATTTCAGTTGTTTTTTCTTCATTAACATCATTAAAAGTTGGTCTGTCTTCTAAGTTTGTTGTCCTTCCATGCCTTGACTGCCTTCTCAAGTTGAAAGATTCTAATGGGGGTCCTTGAAGGGAGACGGCAAGAAGATAGTTTAGAACTTTAACAGAGAGACAATTCCTGTTTTCAGTCTTAACTCTCTTCAGGCAGCTGAATCTTGCTCACAATCTGAAATTAATAAATGAAAGTAATCATTTATGTTAACCTCATGTCTTTTAATTATATTGTTTGTTTGCTTTGAATTTTTGAAAATTTAAAACTTCCAGCCTGTTTAAACTTAACTTAGTAAAAACAAGAGCTGTCACAGGAGACAGCGAAGCTCGACTAATAAAATGCTGGACGCAGTAAGGAGGACAAAACTATGAAAGAAAAATCAATTATGTATAATTAAGTATTAAGTTATAGTAAAAATATAACATTTGTTAACATAAATTCCAAGAGCAAGGGGAATAATTCTAGAAATAGTCATGCAAGAGTTATGGACCTTGCCACACAACATTAATTTTGTGTAATGATAAGAAATATATATTTGAAGTTTGAAGTAGATATCTTAAAAAATAAAGAAGTTATTATATTTCTTAAAGAAAATCCTAAGTTCAAAGGGAGATAAATCTGTAAATATTGCTTCAAGAGTTATGAACATTGTCACATAAAATGTAAATGATTATAAGGAATAAGTATTTGAAGTTTGAGGTAGATACCTTTAAAAATAAAAAAGTTAAAATAAAAAATAACATTTTTCTAGTAAATAAATCTAAGTTTATGGGGAGATAATTCTTGCGATATTGGTGCTAGAGTTATGAACCTTGTCACATAAGATGTGGATGATGATAACGTAAATATATTTGAAGTATGAAGTTGATCCATTTAGAAATAAATAAGTTACAGTAAAAAATAATATTTTGTATGGAAAATTCTAAGTTCAAAGGGAGATAAATCTAAAAATATTGGTGCTAGAGTTATGAACATTGTCACATAAGATGGGGATGATGATAATGTAAATATATTTGAAGTATGAGGTTGATCCCTTAAGAAATAAAGAAGAAACAGTAAGAAATAGTATTTTTTGAGGAAAATTCTAACTTCAAGGGGAGATAAATCTGAAAATATTGGTGCTAGAGTTATGACCCTTGTCACATAAGATGGGGATGATGATACGGTACATATATTTGAAGTATGA